ACTGATCCCTCTTAAATTAGACAAACACACGTTACTTTACCAGCAGAGAGAAAATGGATTATTAAATTATTAATGTGACTAATAAAGAGCTGTTTGATTATTAAGTATTATTCTGTTGATCGATGTCATTACATTTGTTGAAAAGCACATAATGACTTGTTTAAGACTCGTTTTGTCAAAGTTTAGGACTTGGACTTGACTTGAACTTGCCCATCCTGACTTGAGACTTGACTCGGAATTGAGCGCAAAGACTTGAAACTTGGCTCGGACTTGCAAAACAATGACTTGGTCCCACCTCTGTTGACTACCCTCACTATCACCCTCTCACCCTCACTATCACCCTCTCACCCTCACTATCACCACAATGAGTCCAGAAGAACGTCATGCAAAGCTGCCTGCCTGCCTGCCTTTGATTCTCTCTGAACTGCCTGGTCTTTTTAATGTTTAATGTCAACCATTTGTGCAGATAGCATGAAGTAGAACAGATCGCAGATGCTAATGTAGCGTTAGCATTTCTCCCCCGGGCTTAGATGGTGTATTATAGAATGATCACACCGGTGACAGTACTCTTCAAAGGGTTCATGAGATATGACTACAACTCTTACTGTTTAACATTTTGGGTTACTTAATGTTACTTCATGTTAAGGCTAATAAAAATGACAAGGCTAAGACTGTAATGCTAACTAACGTGCTAGCTACTAGCTAGGTAGCTAACTTGATCCAGCCACTCCTGGTCCTTTCATCAGACGGGAAGCGAAAGAACGAGCAAGACCCATTGCTGGTATGATAACAACCTGGTACTAAGCACACAGGCATCTTCTTAAAGTTATCTTATCTTAGCTAGCTTAGCTATCTCTTATATTTAGTGGAGGAAACCAGTTGTGACATCACTCACGCGACTCTGGGATTTGTAGTCTTTCTAATTGCGTATTTTTCATAGTCTTATATTTCAACAGTTTTACGACAAACTGACTTTTTTGACATGGAAATGATTTTTTAAGATTGACAAACATCATGTGTGTAATTCATGGCACAATTCAAACGGGATCGAAAGATACGTTTTCTCTCTCCATTGACTTCAATACATAATTTTTCCAAAATAAGGTCCCATGGACCGGAAGTAGATGGGCGTGACTTCGCCACTCTATTGTGATGAAATGTAAAAACTAAAAATCTACAGATTGTGATGACATTGACATGACTGTATTAAAAAAGGTTATAGATGTTATTTCAAAACCATTCACACACATACCTATCATTCCAAACTGGTGCATTTCCTAACAAAATGAAAATAGCAAAAGTCATACCTTTGTTCAAAGCTGGGAACAAACATCACTTCACAAACTACAGACCTGTCTCACTTCTACCACAATTCTCAACAATTCTTGAAAAGCTTTTCAATAACAGACAATTTCATAGAAAAACACAAACTTTTCACCGAAAGTCAATATGGATTCAGAGCCAATAGATCAACCAACATCGATGGCTTTAATAGGCTTTAATAGACTCACTCTGCAGGTCTCCCTTGAAAAAGAGATCTATGATCTCAATGGGACCAATCTGGTTAAATAAAGGTTTGAAATGAAATGAAATGACTTGAAGAAATTACTAGCTCAATTGACCAAAAAAAACATGCCATTGGAATATTCATTGACCTAAAAAAATACATTTGACACAATTAATCATGACATATTAATAAAAAAACTGGAATGTTATGGAATCAGGGGTGTAGTTTTGGAATGGGTAAGGAGTTATTTAACCAACAGGCAACAGTTTGTGAAGCTGGGAGAGTGTTGTTCTTCATATTTGGACATTACATGCGGTGTCCCCCAGGGGTCAGTATTGGGGCCGAAACTATTTATTATGTATATTACATTACATTACATGTCACTTGTTAGACGCTTTTATCCAAAAGCATTCCCTCTCTTTACTGTTCATTGGTTTGACCTTATTTAAGTTACTTTAAGGTTTGGGCCAGTAATTATGAAGCTACAACACAATCCCTATTTATTATGAAAAAACAGCAATAAGTCGGCTATAGGGATCATACAAACTCATTATTCTGAGAGCTAAAATTATTAAAACTGTCAGATCTTGTTAAATTCCAAATCGCACAAATCCTGTTTAAGGTGTTTTTCCCCCGGAGACGTTGCGAAGAGACGGAGTGGTTCCACTTGTTGCTGCCTGCGATCTGCGATCTACGGAGGCCTGCTCCCACCTGTAGAGTACGGCTGTACTGGAGAGGTTTTTACCCCGGAGTCGTCACGGAGAGACAGAGTGGATCCACGCTTCAGGCTTGGCCTGCTTTCACCGGGCGTGTGCTGCTGTGCGGAGGAGGATTTTACCACGGCTGGGGCCTGCTATCCACATTAGTTTCCAAATCTATCAGTAAGCAATTCGAATTTTTAGCCTTAAATATAGAAGTGGCAAAGGGGAAACAGGTCATGGTGGTGGGCTGCTACAGACCCCCCTCAGCTGGCAAGGACTCCTTGTCTTTGCTAGCAAATCTTATATCGCAGCTAGACTACAAGGAAATAGTGCTACTTGGAGATTTTAACTGGGACTGGTTAACTGCCGTGTCAGAGGATTTAAAAAACCTTTGTATCTCTTTAAATGTTACTCAGATTATAGACAGTCCTACTCGCCCTAACATTCCATCCATACATCCATCCATCTTCTCCCGCTTATCCGTGGTCGGGTCGCGGGGGTATCAGTTCCAGCAGAGAGCCCCAAACGTTCCTTTCCCCTCATCAACCAGCTCTGACTGGGGGATCCCAAGGCGCTCCCAGGCCAGCGAAGAGATATAATCCCTCCACCTGGTCCTAGGTCTACCCCTTGGTCTCTCCCAGCTGGACGTGCCTGGAACACCTCCCTAGGGAGGCGCCCAGGTGGCATCCTAACTAGGTGCCCGAACCACCTCAACTGGCTCCTTTCGACGCGAAGGAGGAGCGGCTCAACTCCGAGTCCCTCCCGGATGACCGAACTTCTCACCTTATCCCTAAGGGAGACGCCAGCCACCCTGTGGAGAAAACCCATCTCGGCCGCTTGTATCCGCGATCTCGTTCTTTCGGTCATGACTCAATGGGACCAATCTGATTAAATAAAGGTTGAAATGAAAATGAAATGAAGGTAAAAACCACGTTCAATGACCTGGGAATATTCAGAATAATGTTCAATGAGAGACAAGGGAATTATTATTTACGTGGTTCATTTATATTCACTAATGTTAGGGTGCGCACAACAAAGAGACGTGTTTGTGTTTGTGGGGTGACGATCTGGAACAATGTGAGTGAGGAGCTAAAGGGATGTCCAAACATCAAACTATTAAAAAAGAGGTATAAAGACACAATTCTCACAAGGTACAGGGATGAAATTGTGTATGTATTTGTATGTGTACATATGTATATATATAAATATATAGAGACCATTCTCCTAACTTGCCAGAACATATATTAAGATGTAATTATTTTTTTTCTCAATAGTTAGATTTTGGGAGAAGGGGTCGGATTAAATAAGTGTAAACTTCTTCCGACCCCTTTTCGGACGTGTAATTAGCTAAAGCTATGTTGTTTATTGATATCGGACAATGATACTACAGAATAGATTATTCAATTATTAATTAAATGGTTGGTGTTGTTATTGCATTCATTTGTATAGTACTGTATCATGTCTGTATCACCTTTTGTTTCATTTGTATTTTCTTTAGTTTTACACGCTCTAAACTAAACTCCCACCCCCTGCGACCTGAACTTCAGCTTCTTCCTTCGGGCCGGAGGTTCATCTTCTTAAAGGTGTAGAACCAAGAGGTTTAAAAACAGCTTTGTGGATGTTCTGGAATCCGAGGGACTTTTCAAAGATGTGTCTGTTGTAGGGGTGTAACGGTTCGGTGCGTACCTCGGTTTGGGGGTCAGGCAAAAAAAAGTCCCAAATTCCAGGTTTGTTGTTATTTATTTTGAACAGCAAGTTTCAGTTTAAAAATAAGGAACTCTAACATTTTGAATAATTCACTTTATTACACAGTTAAAAACAAACCACAAACAGTACCACACACACTCAGATGGCCATATTATCTATAATGGCTGATTATAACAAAAAGGTTCATCAAACTGTAAAACTAAAAAGAATGTCTTGAAAATATTACAAAATAAATAATAAGAAAGTGTTTCCAGGGCGCAAAGCAATCCCTTTCAATCACAATCACTGAAAGCCGGGGTCCTCTACTATTGCATAAGGGCGCAGCATAGCTGTTGAAATATATATGCCAAAAGCTTCCGTTATTTCGTTTGGTCTCTCGGCTCTCATGTCTATTGGCTTCTTAAAAACAGCGGGGATCAGCTGCTGCTGTCTTTTGGGCTCCGGTGATTGGAAAATCTGGCTGATGCCTTCTGATATGATTTAGCATGTTGGACGTGTTACCAGATTAGCATACCGCACCGCTGTCGATCAACGCCGACACACCGTCCTCGCCCGATCTTCCACTCGCACTCCATCGTTATTTAGTCCACAGGGAACCCGACATGTTCCCACACAGCTGATTTAAAAGAAGCAGGTGGTTCTAGCTCCTGTGTGTTATCTGAAATCACCAAACTAACTTTTCTTCTTCTTATATTTTGTTCGTTTTGTTGTTGTTTTCTTCTTGTTCTTCATGTGTTGTTTAAGGGCGGCTGGCAAACAGCTTTTAGGCGCAATACCGCCCCCTGGATTATAAATAGTGTAATGGATGCTGCCCTGAAGGACAGACTTTTTTCCCCACTCGTAAAAAAAAAGGCGTATTCGTCGTGTGACTGCATGTGCCGAACCGTGACGTCCGAACCGTGACGTCCGAACCGTGACGGTACGGGACGAATACGGATACCGTTACACCCCTAGTCTGTTGTCTATATTGTATGAAGCATGTGTCACAATGGATACCTTTTCTTACTTCTGCAAACCAAGTTGACCTACTGGAACAAATAAGTACCATGAGAGAAATAAGAGTGACTCAGCCGGCGACCACACACCTGGTTCTGGTCTCTGGCAGTAAGTTGGTTACTGGACACAGAGCTGGGTCCAGGTCCAGGTCCAGGTCCAGGTCCAGCAGAATGAGGTGTTTGCTCTGGGCTGGAACACAACACAAACAGAGCTTTGAGTGCCTAATGAGTGCTGAGCTGTGACATTGTGTGATGGACAGGTGCAGATCTCACCTCTGAGCTTTGGTCTGGCTCTCATGTTCCCCAGAGCTTTTAGAGGGGGGGGCTTCCTCCTCTCTGTCCTCACACTGATCCATAGCAGAGCCCCCACCTTCACACAAACACAACAACATGCTCATTCATTACCACAAGCTTCACATCACAGGTAGTGCCCCTCCTCTCAGATATCCAGGAACCTTGTTGGAGCCTCAACAGGACCGGATCAGCCCAGGATGTTCCCCACAGCCCCAGAACCACACAGAAACTCAGTGTGTTGCATGGCGTGAACAACGACCAAGTGCAGCTGGTGGTTGAAGCAGTGCACATATGGGATTTCTCTGCCCAGTTCATCTTGAAGGAGTCTTTGAACCCCACCGTGTCTCCCCGACATAAGACTTTCCCCAACCTATACCTGGTTGACAATTGTGTCTGTGCTCAGGCCAGCTTTGCATATTTCATCAATGAGTGTCTGTGTGAGGGTTTTTGCATAACCTGCAACTGCTGTGGCGATTGTCAAGAGCCTTTCTTTTATGACATAGTTCTCATCAACAAAACGCAGTACAATTGAAATGTTTTCACAGCCTGTCCATCCATGTTGACAGTGTCAAAGGAGTCGCCTATTTCCTCAACAATATGCTCCCTTACAACTTATCAGGTCAATTATGTCGTTTTGTATATCATGGCTTATGTAGTTAGCATTTTTGGGAATGGTGGGGGCAATTTTCGCGAGTTCTGGGTCTTTTTGGTATACTCAAACAATGACAAAAAGAACCCACTACCAGACTTGGACATACACTCTAAAGCAGTGCTTCTCAAAGTGTGGTCCGCAGACCACTGGTGGTCCGTTAGCGCCCCCTAGTGGTCCGTGAGTATATTGGTAAAATTTCACATTTGAAATAAATAAATACATTTAAGTTTTCCGCACTCTCACGGGAATATATCCGCAATGGAGCAAGCTTAAGTTTCAATTGCATGATATAGCCCAGCGCAACACCTTCGTCAAACATTTTGCCACTTGTTTGTACCATTTTCAGGCGATTTGTAATCTGTTCTAGAAAAACGATGTGAATTTGGATATCTGTGGAGTTAGGTGGTCCGCGAGTGTTTTTTTATTGGTTAAGTGTCCTTGGTATGAAAATGTTTGAGAAACACTGCTCTAAAGCACATGTGTCAAACTCAAGGCCCGGGGGCCAAATCAGGCCCTTGGTGGATTTAATTTCGGCCCGCAGGATAATTTCTAATTACTATTAGATCTGGCCCGCCGGTATATGGCACGCACACCTTCACTCCATCCTGAGGATCTCCTCAGCTCAGAGCCTGAGCCCAAACATTGATGACCTTGCACCTAAGATGAGATGCCAAGTATCTGAACTAGCATCACAGAGCAGCACACTGAGTTCAATGGATGCTTCCTTCTGCACTTTCTCTCTCACGACAGCAGGGCATGTTTGGTTTCTCTTTGAGGGAAATAGTTTTGTTGAAGCTGTTGTTGGCCTGTGGGGAAATGTACTCATAAGAGATGACTCTGGAAAAGCTGCAGATAGAGCCATAAGAAATGAATGCAGCTGATTATTTAATGTTTAATGTTGTTTTTATAGGCAATCATTTAAGCTTTGTTAGTTCCAGGTTTAATATGTGCAATAAGTTCATTTCAATACGTTTTGCAATAAACATTGAACCAGTCCGGCCCTCGACTTGTACCCATTTTCTTATTTTGGCCCACTGTGTATTTGAGTTTGACCCCCCTGGCCTAAGGAGTGCGTTCAGGTCGAGGGCTATTCAGTTAGGGGGTTTTAGTCTCCCCCCCATGGTGGGGCCAGGGAAGATAAACTGCACCTCCTCTGCCCGGTGCGTGCGCTAGCATGGCATGTGGAGCGCACGGCTGCCCTTAGACGTACCGAACAGCCGTTTGTGTGCGTCGGGGGCTATGTCCAAGAAACACCTGGCAGGCTGGCTCTGCGAGTGCATTGCACATGCCTACGGACAGGCGGCGAGAGTCTGCCCCACGGGGATTCGTGCGCACTCCAGCTTTAGCCCTCCACACTTTAGTCCACACACACTCTGCACGGGGTCAGTGTTTGAGTGTGGGGCATGGGCACTTGCACTCTCCCTGTGATCCTTAGGGACTCAGAGAGGTAGGTGCACAGTGAGCCCATACAGGGCTGGGGGCTCTCCCCATCCGTCTATGGGCGAGGGGGCCCTGTTTTTTGAGCACACTTTCTGCGAGGTAAGCGCAGCAGGGTGTGCTCTGTCCGCCGCAGCCCAGACTTCTCCACGGTCACAACCGGGTTAAAGGAGAATGTGGGGCAGCAGCTGCTGACCAGAAAAGCCGGTCAGGGGCAGCAGGGTGGAATGATGTTGTTGGACGACAGTGCGCGTATACATCGGGGCTCCACCCACTGTACCCATAGAGTCCAGTAGAGGGCTCAG